CCACTGGGGGATTTCCAGGGCACACGAGGAGCCTGCTTATCACGCCCACCACATGCAGCTTTCCCGGCCAGGCGTCCGCTGTTCCTGAGGCAGATGCTCGCCCCAGCTGCTCGCCCGTCCGTCTGTCCAGCCAGCGGTGAGCTGTTCCTCCTAAGGCACACTGGTTCACAGAGGGCAGTTGGGCAGCCGCGGCCAGGGAACCCCAGGAAGGAAAGCCTCGAAGGCAGGAGGGGGAAAGGCCACGCTGTCCAAGCCACAGGCCGAGGCCCTGCGTGATCAGACACCACGACACGCCGTCCCCCTGGGAACACAGCCCTTAGTGACCAGCAGGTGGAGGGCTGTGCGCCTCACCTGTCCCCCAGCCCCCTGCCAGTATGGGACCCTGTCTCCCCTCCCCGGCTTGGGGAGACCCGGAGCTCAGAGCTCTGGGCGGAATCCCAGGGCCGTGGGAGCAGCAGCTGTGGGCACAGGCTGCGAAGGAGCCCCACAAGGGAGAGGGATGGAGGGGTGCTGGCACCATGAGGGACGGGCTACCGCTAATGAGCCCTGTCTTGTCACAGGCAAGTCGGTGCAGTGGGCGGAGGCACTGGCCCTGGGCCTCCTGAGTGGTGGAGTGCACTTCCGGCAGGTAGGCAGATGCCCCGCTCCTTTCCGCGCTCTGGCACCAGATCCTGGCCGGCCCCCACGTGCCCAGGGACGGGTGGCGGGCAGAGCATGCTGCAGCTGTCCAGCTTAGCGGCGGCCTCAGTCCAGAACTCCAGGTGTGTGTGAAGCGTGTTTCGTGCGTGTCCAAGGCGGACGTGGTTTCCCCCCCCAGCTCCCATGGTGCTGCTGGGCTGTGACAAAACGTGGGCCTCTCCTCGCATGAGACCCCCTGCGGGTTGCAACACATCCCCAGCGCCCAGGGGACACAGGCCTGGAAGCCCCTTGTCCTGCCCATGGGCCCGGAGGGCTGGGCCCCAGCTTGGTCCACGCCAGCAGGGAGGACTCGGGGGTGAAGGTGCGGGCCCAGGGCTGCAAGAGAGCAGGGCCCGGCTCTGCGGAGGCTCTGAAGAGAGCCGGAGGCACACAGGGGCCTGGCCGTTCCCCCCCTCCGACAGACTTCTCTGCTTCCCTTCTCGATCCAACTTCACTCACGAGGACCAACACCTGGACCTGCCTCGGCTGAGCGCTGGCCGTTTCTGCCCCACAGGGCCCCGAGCTGGCTGAAAGGGGGCAGAGCCCTAGCTTGCTCGCCGCCCCGCCCCCAACAGCAGCAGGACTTCCGACTGTCCCCTCCCACCAGTTCACACTCACACCCACGGAAGGCACACAAACGCACTTCTTTGGGGATTAAAAAGAGATTTTTAAATACAATAGTATGAAAATATAACTTAAAAATATAAAAGTCAGAGAGCATACGGAAGACTTAAAAACTAGGTTGTGTCCATTAGTCCCAAAGGTACCTGTAAGAATCAACACAGAATCGGAAACGTGAGCGTTGGCAGCTGGAGGAGCTTGCTCAGAAATCAAGTTACAAAGCCATCGGGGTCGGGGCACCGGGTGGTCCTCACTCACACTCTCCGCACCTCGGGGATGCACGGGGGGATGGATGGGCGGACGGGCACGTCGGGCGGAGGGTGGGCGGGCGCCTTCTCCCACAAGGCCGGCCGGTCACACACGCAGGCAGGGGCTCGGGATCCCCACGAGGTGGTTTGGGACAACAAAACTCCTCACTTGCATATTTGGTCAGTGTTTGTAGTGCAACTGAAGGGGCCTCCACTGCCTGCAGCCCCGGCCCCTGGTAAGTCACAGTGGTCTAGGGCGGGCGGGGGCAGCGGGAGAGTGGAGGTAGAGGGGCAGGTGTGCTGCAGGGGGCTGAGGGTCACACAGGCAGCCCAAAGCGGTGCTTCTTCCTCCCGGGCTTTGGAGCCGTCAGTCTGTGGAGGTCCTCGTCCATGTCCGACTGCTCCAGCTCGTCCTCCGCCGAGATCAGGATCTGAGGGGGAAAGGGGCCTGCATCAGCCCCTGGGGGGACGCCTTGGAGAACAAGACATGCTGGCCCCCAAGATTCACTGCTCCCAAGGCATGTGCAGCTGACGGACAAGCAGGACCGAGCCACAGACACCCACTCTACCAGTTCCCCCATCCCCTGCCCAGTCACAGTGAACCAGGGTGCTGCAAGCAAGAGCCCCCCACGCTGCTCTGGGGGGTTTCTGGCCCGGCCCAGAAGTGGGGACGGTCAGTCGGTGCTGCAGCAGCATCAGACTCCAGCCCACCCTCTTCCTGCCTCAACGGAGTCTCCCTGAGGGCCAAACTCTCGACCTCAACTCAAGATGCGGCTCCAGGTACTCTCAGTGGGCCTGCAGGTTGGGTGGAGTGCCCTGCGTTCTCCAGGCGGTCAGTCTCTGCAGGGGCAGAGAGCCCCGCCTGTCTCTCCTGGAGCAGCTGACCTGTGGCTAGCCACCCAATGCGTAACCACCAGGAGAGGCTTGGGGAGGAGGGAGAGGGAGGCCTCAGCAGGCCCTCGGGATCACCTTCTAGCTGGCCGGCCAGCCCCCTCCTGTCCTGCACAGGACCTCGGCCAGCTCCTCCTGCAGAGGGGGGCACCGCCCACCCACCAGGTTCTGGGGCCAGCAGGCAAGGGCGCAGAGCGCCGGTCCCGGGCAGCGCACCTCAGACTCGGAGTCCTCGTGGGATGCGGCCCTGCGATAGCGGACCTTGCTTCCGTTCCTGGAGTCCTGGCTGCCCCCCCTCTCTTCCAGCTTGGCCTTCGTCTTCCCCTTCCTCATGAGGAAGTTGTCCACCACCCAAAACATCAATGCCTGCAAGAGGGACAGACGGGCTGTCCAGGGAGGCCCAGCAGTCCTGGGCCAACTGGCGGGGACCCCTCGCTGCCCGGATCCGCATGAAAGTACCCAGGACCTTGGGAAGAGCTCCCCATTTGGGCCCCTTGCAGCCCCCCTCCTCCCTCGCACGTGCTCCACTCCGGCTCTCCCCACAGACGGGATGGCCATCCTTGCCCCAAACACCAGGAAACGAGTCCTGGTGGCCCGGTGGTTCAGCGCTCAGCTGCTGAGAGGTTAGCGGGCGGGTTGGCCTGTCAACATGCACACCCAGGAGGCCCGGTCCCAGGGACCCTGCAGGGCGGCTGTAGTCAGCACGGGTGTGACAGCGTGCGGTCATTCAGGCAGCAGGGCTGGGCTGCATCACATACCCCTCTTTCCCGAGTCCGGCCACCTGCCAGCTAACCACGTGGGGGTCCTGCTCTAGGGGCGGTCTTACCCATGGGCACCCCTCAGCAGGACTGCAGGCTGGGGCCCTGGGGGTGGTCTGCCTTCTGGGAGGCAGTCCTGTCTTCCTGGATGGGGTTGGGTTCAGGGGTCAGCACAGGCTCCCAGAGACACTTGTAAAGAGTCCTGGGGCCCAAGGTGCGTTTTCCATCAGAGTCAGAGCTCTGCGGTAACCAACTGCGGGTGTGTGACCCTACCCTGGGGTGGGGCTGGGCCACATTTGGGCGGGGTTTGGGAGGGGTGGGGCCACAGTGGGGCGGGGTCTCGGCAGAGCGGCACTGACGTTGACGAAGAAGGGCACAATGAGCATGACCACGGCCAGCTTCAGGTCTGGGTTCTCGATGGGATTCAGAAGGGACACCTGGAATGAGAAGCAGGCCGTGAGCTCAGAGCGCGAGCCTGCCCGCAGGGCCTGAAGGGAATGAGCGGACTGCGGTGGCCCTCTTGGAGGAGGTGCTTAGGGGGAGCCGAGGGGCGGGCCTGGTGGGCGCCCCCAGCCTAATAGACATGGGCCTCACCACCTCCCAGAGGGCAGTAGCTCTGAGAAGCGTCTCTAAATTTTTCATAAAAAAAATACAAACATCCACCAGACAGAACCACACAGGGCCCAGATCTGTGCCACCTGTTCCCACACGCCTGCTCAGCTTGGTTTCGGAGGGTCTCCCAGCAATGCAGCCACCGGAACCGGAGCCGGTGGGCTCTCGGGGCCATCCCTTGGTAGTCACGGACCAAGGATGGCGCCTACCCTAAACCACCAACCACGGGAGTGGCGTGAGCGGCGTCGGTGGACGTGGAAACGTCCTGCAAAGGGACACCGGGTGGCCCGCAGGTCCCCTCCTAAACAGCCCACTGTCCCTTCGGCCAGCAGCCACCCGGCATGATGGGCACCAACGTGGAGCAATGCACTCCAGCAAGAAGCTCCTGTTAGTGAGAGCCGGCCAGCGTGCCTACGACATGTCCACGTTCAAAGGGCAGGAGGGCCACTTTCGGGCAGGGAGCAGTGCCTGTGTGTGTGTGTGTGTGCGTGACGGGGCTGCGAGGCCCCAGGAAGGCAAGCAAACCTTTTTCCACTGAAGTATCAGGAGGACAAGGGAGACGACAGCTTTCTCAAAGACCATGATGACGATGTAGAGGGCGCACTGCCCGGCCCACGCTCCGCACTGCAGAGGGTCTCCTGCAGGGACAGGCAGACATCGTCACACGGGGGCTCCCTCTCTACCCGGCTCTCAGAACCCTGAGTGAGAGCCCGAGTGCTGAGATTCGCTGCTTCTCCATCAGCTACGACAGTCGTCTGCGAAGGAGCCCCCGCCCGAGAGCACCTGAGTGGCCATCCTTGATGTCCACTGAGAGATGGGAAGACATCATTCCAATGGGCTGAAGAGGGGAGAATGGACGGACGCTCACAGAGGCACAAAGGGGCAAGGTGGGTCTGAGCAAGCCCCCAGCACACAGACGGCCCTGGAGGACGAGCAGTGCTCACACTAAAAAACACTCTTGGACAGTGACCGTGGGGTGGGGTGGGGTGGGGAGTGGGGCGGTGTCCTGGAGGCAGGTTGGTCAGAAGTGCTGGGGCAGGGATGGGGCAGAAAGGGCAGCAGCGGCTGGTACTGCTCTGTGCTCCAGTCTGGACTCGTGGTGACCTGCAAGTGGACACGTGGGAGGACAGTTGGGGGACACCATGCGGAGACGCAGCTCTGACAGAGGGCATCTGTACGTGTGTTCGTCTTTACTGCAGAGACCCACGGGAGCAGGGCAGCACATGGGAGGTCAGAGATGAACACTGAGACGGAGCCCAACACCTGGGGGATGAGGTTCTGGCCTTGGGGGGGGACGGGGTCAGAAGACACCACAATCAATCAGTCAACGGGCACAACTCGTCCACAAGGGCAGGATCGATGCGGAAGTCTCATGAGTAGGGACTGGGGTCTCAAAGCCCGTGACGTGGAACTACTGGTCTCTCCCCATCTGGGAGAAGAAGTGGAGAACATGGAGAGACGTGTGGATACCTGGGCCACACAGGCATCGGCCTCCAAAGCCCGGAGATCGGAGACAGTAGATGGTGCCCAGCCAGTGTCCCCACTGCTCTGAAAGGGCTCACGCTGGAAGGTCATGGACAGAGGGGAGGGCAGTGTGGAGCAACACTGAACACCATGGATGAAGCAGGTCAGAGACAGGTGGTCCCTTCCGTAGTCACCCCTCAGGTGTGGATGGGAACCTGCCTCTAGAAGACGAGACGGGGAGCGTCTGCCCGTGACAAGGGTGCAGGGTCAGGAGAGGAGGTGGGACGGAAATGGGAGGCCCTGGGGGAAGGGGCCCAAACCTGATGGAGTGAAACAAAGGCTGCGTCCACAGCTGTGGGACGTAGTCCCACTGTGACTGACCCAAATCACAGCAGAAAACTTCAATAAGAGGCAGGGGACGAAGCCAGTAAGCAGCGTGGCGGCAGGGACTCAGGCGCTGGCTATCTGCTCTGTGGCAGGGAGCGAGCAGGCATGTCTGCCAGGAGGACCCGTAGGGCTGTGGTGTTTGAGAGCTCATTCCTTTTCTGCCAATCCCGCCCCCCCCCCCCCCAAGCTCATCCTCCATCCCACTTCCATAAAAATCCTGATCTGAGGAGTTCAGGGCCCCGTGGGGAGAGGCGGAGGCCAGGCTTCAGGAAGGAGGATGGCGAGGCTGTGTGTGGGTGACCAAGGCCAGCCTGCCGCCCCATCAGGCGTCACGGCCGAGAAACCACGGGCCCAAGAGTCCTCCATCCCAGCCATCGGACATGCGGGCTGCGGTGCTTCCAAAATGTCCCCACGGGACTGGGCGGCCAGGGGAGGTCCAGCCCCTCGGGGGATGATTGGCATGTGCAGAGATGGGCAGGTCCAAGGGGTGGGCGGGGGGCAGTCTCCCCAAAGTGGAGAGTGGAGGTGGGGGAGCCCGTTGACATGGACAGGCCAGCGGAGGGTAGAAGGTAGCCTTTTAGGGGAGAAGGGCCCTTCCTGGCCCTGAGGGGGAGCGCAGCGCCAAGAGAGCCTCGTGTTTCTCATTCCAGCCTTCCTGGAGTCCTGGCTGCGGGCCTGCTGCCACGCCCACGTGGACACACGGGGAGGCCTTCAGGCGGCTGTCATGGACAGTCCCTTTTCTGGGGAGTCCCTTCTCCAGGGACCGACATCCAGACCCTCCCGAGCGCTGCCCACTGGCAGAGAGGAGTGCTGGGCGGACACAGAACACGGCCTCTGGCGTCCAAGGGCGGGCAGGCAGGTGGGCGGGCGTCCCTGGAGCTCAGCGTCCCAGCTGCACTCGAGTTCGGAGCAGCAGGCACCCTGGTGGAGGTGGGCAGGGAGCGGGCTCTCAGGGAGGATGAGAAGGAGCCACCAGTGAGGCAGGAAAGGTGCGGCTGGGGCTCAGGTGTCCACCAGGGATGCACACGTGCGGCCAAGCCCACGGGCAAAAGGCGGAGCCTTGCTGGGCCTGCGACTTCCTGGTGCCCAGGATCCAGCCTCCAGGTCTGTCACGGGACGCTCACCCTGGGCCTCAGAAGTGAGGAACTGGGGTGTCACAGCTCCCTAGGTCAAGGGGCATCTAGTCTCAGCGGCACTCAATCAATTCTCGGACTTGGACTTTGGGGATGCTGCTGTGGGCGAAGGTGAGCTCCATGGTCAAGGGCATGACACTGGGGGCCAAAGGGAAGAACGTTACAGACTGGATTGTCACCCCAAATCTATGCTGTAAACCCCAGCCTCTTGCCTGTGGTTCTAAGCCCAGGGACGCTGTGGGCTGTGCGTGTGCATGTCTCCCGAGAGACACAAAGGAAACAGACGTGTGGGGACAGCGCCGCGTTCCACAGAGAGTGAGGGAAGGTCTCCCCGCTCCCTCTACCTCGATGCACCTGTGGGCAGGCACTGGGCTTCTTACAGCCGTCCACTGACCAAGACAGGCGCCTGCCTCCCCAGCTGGTTGGGCAGGTAACAGGTATGGTGGGCAGAGCCATGCTCCCCGGGAGACATTCACATTCGAATCCCCGGAACCTGTGGCTGCTCTAGGTTACGGGCAGGGTCCAGGCTGGTTCTAGGGAGGTAGCTCAGCCAGAACCTGCACACGCACAAGGCCTCCTCACCACCGCAGGAAAGGCAGACTCGGGAGGCAGAGGCAGAAGGCTCCCACCTCCACTGCTGCGGTTTCTGAGAATGGAGGGAGAGCCCGGTGCCACAGGAGGCAGGCGGGGAAAGGCAAGGAAACCCCTTCTCCCCAGAGCTTTCCACCACGACCAGACCTGCCAACAGCTTGATCTTAGAACCCCACATCGGAACCCCAAGCTCCTCAGCGAGTGGCAGGAGCAGCCATGCACCCACGGCCGGTACCCGCACACCGGCTGCCCTGGCTCTACCTGGGGACACCTGCCTGGGAGACGCCAACCCCTACCCCACAACCTTCTTCCCTGCTGTCCACTCTTGGGGCTGGCAGCCGTGCAGGGCACAGGCCGGCCCTGATGCTGCAGCACCAGCAACCACAACTGCTCTGCACCCCCGCACCAAGCCGGGAGCAGATGCTGTGGGTGGGGCTGCCTGCGCACTGCCTTCCTACAGCCCAGCAGGACGTCCTGCCTTCCAGAAGGTTCTCTCTCTCTCACACACACACACGTTTATGCACCCACTGGGCGATGACAGGAGTGGCAGAGCAAGAGGAGGACCAGTCTCCACATCACATCCACTGGATCGTTACAGTCCTCCTCTTCAGAGGTAACCCTTTAGTGAGCGTTCACATGAGACACGATTACCTGTACTTTCTTGGCCCATTCAGAGAGATCCATCCACATACCTCTTCCCCACATCTCCTTGTCACCAATTTTCCAGTCATGTTCCTTCCAGTTCCCTGAGCACCCAGCAGAGTCATGAGCCACAGCCCCTGAATCAGTACACTGTCTCACATCTGGCCAACTGGACGGCCAGGTGCCCTGCTCCAAGTCCTGCCCGTTGGGCGGCTTTCCCTTCACCTGTCCTTCAGGGAGGTCCCAGAAAGGGGCAGTCGTGCTGCGGCTGTCCACGTACGAGTGGCACCTGCATGTGGTGCAGAGCCACCTGCAAACCAGGTGTGACTTTGCTGTTCCTCTGTCAACTTATCACCAGGAACTCCCCAAATCCACCCCGTCCTGGCTTCTTGCCGAATGGTCCCGGTGACAGCCCTCAGTGCTCACTGTTCCTGTTCACTCTGCGACGGCAGTTGGCTCCCGGCCTCCAACATTGTCAGCTGTGCTTCCAATCAACCGCACGCTACTGGGCTGGATAGAGACCCCACACTGAGCCCCTGGATGGCCGCTCTACAGGACAGAGCAGAGCCGCTCCCTGGCTGCTGGAGCCTGGACGCTCTTGGCGGCACGGGGCCTCACCGCTCTCCGGTGGCGGAGGCTGGCAGCTCTCAACTAGGCTGAGTGGGCAGCAGCCCCCGGACCCCCCTTGATCTTCCTTTCTTAGAGTCAAGCATGACAATCTCTACTTCCTGAGCTAGCCTGCTACTGAGCTGAAAGGTGACACCAGGGCCTCCAGCCTCAATGGGAGCTGGTGTTGCACCACATTTTCCACCCGTTTTGCCAGGATCCAGCTCTTGTACCCTGATTAGAGTCGGCCGTGGGAGCCAGGCACCACCAAGCTTCAGAAGGCTTGTAACAGCCAAGGAGCAGCTCTGAGCGGCGTTGCGGGTGGTAAGAACCAGGGCCCCCTCCCCCTATACACACACACTGCTGTGGCTCTGCACTCCTCTGGGGGCCTGTTCTGTCAGTGGACATCCCAGAATGTGGCCCGTCCCACCTCCCCTAAGCCCAGTCCTCCTTGCGGCCACAGCACACACGCACTGCGTGTCGGGCACCATCTAGGTCAGTGACTCATCGAGCCCGTCACTGGGCTCAGAAAAGCCCTCTCCCCTCACGGAGACACATGCTCTGTACTGAACATTTCTAGAAAGACCAGACCACTCCCAGCCGGCTCCTCCTATGCATGTGAGCCCCTCTGAGCCGGCAGCCTGTGGGGCGGGAGGGCCCCTTGGGGCATCCAGTTACTGCCCCACTCTCCATGTGCCCCCTCGTGGCAGACGCCCCCCCTCCCACCGGTGGGCAGTGGCCTCCATCCCTGTGTCTGAGTGGGTGGATCCACAAGGCCCTTCTCACCAGCCCCCCCCCCCCACTGCCTGAGCGCCGAGCCAGCCTGGCAGCAGCTCCCACCCCAGCTAGTGCTGCAGGGCAGGGGCCTACAGTCAGCCTGCAGTGGGGGATTGAGGCAGCCTGGCCCGGGAGAAGTGGACCACCCCATGCTGCCTGCAAGTCCCCAGCCCCTGCCGATGGCACAGCAGGGTCACAGGACAGGAGACAAAGCTCACCACTTCCGGCCAGGACCTGTCACATGTGCATGGCAGGCTGTGTTGGCAGAGTGGGGTGGCCTCAAGGCCCTTGGGGTGGGACCCCCACTGCTCTCTGGTGCGAAGCAGCCAGGTGACTCCAGCCGCCTCCCTGCCATTGGAGTGGAGCCCCAGCCGGAGAGGAGGAGTGTCCAGCCAGACCCTCGGCCGCCACGTGGCAGGTGGACACAGCCACCAGCTTTAAACCTGTGGAGCCAGCGCTGCTCGGCGTGCAGATGGGTCCCGGTCATTACCGTACTCGCCGAACCGCAGGGACTCCCACTGCTGCCACTCCACCAGGACACCGACAGCGCGCACGCCCGCGTAGATGAGCAGCATGCCCACGGTGGCGTCCAGCAGGAAGTTGATGAGGTACCTGCGGGGGGGCCGGGCCGAAGGTCAGGGGCTGCTGTGGGCAGCACTGGGCAGCAGCTGGGTGGCCTGTTCTGGGGGTGGCCTTCCCTCAGCCCCACAGCGATGAGCTGACAATGGGCTGGTGGTCACTGTGGCTTAGCAACTCGAGGGCAGGCGGAGGGCGGCCAGGACCGAAGGATGGCCCTGTCCCACCAGGTGAAGAGTCGACGTTGCACACAATCCCTGAGCAACACGCCATGGGGCCTGAAGGTGCTGCTGCAGGAGGAAGGGCCAGAGAGGTTACTGCTCCCTCAGCCCGAAGGTCAAGGCCCAGGGCACGTCAAGGGCTCCTGCTCCATGGGGGAGCTCTGCTCTGCACAGAGAAGGCACGGGCACGGTGGAAGGAAGGGAGCAGTGTGGGGACAGAGCGCCCGCAGGGCCCATGTTCCTATAACTTGCGCTGTGAGAACCTCCTTCCCTGCTCCCAGGACGGCTCCCCTGCTCAGGCTGCAGGGCCTGCACCCAGCAGAAGCTGCCACAAGCCCAAAGGGAGGTACAGAAGCAGCAGCAGCCAAACCCAGGCTTGGCCTGGTCCCCAGGGACACTGTGGCCCCCGTGTGAGAAACACCAGGGCCCACAGGCCACTCCCCTGCCCCCGTGCAGGCACAGCTCCATTTTGCTCAGTGCCTTCCCAGGGGGGGGGTGGTGGTGGTGGTGGTGTGTGTGTGTGTGTGTGTGTGTGTGTGTGTGTGTGTGTGTGTGTGTAGAGGCCTCGGACTCCTGCCCACCTGCCCTTCCTCACTGGAACCGCAGGGGTCACTCTCAGACCAGAGCTGGAAGACCGCCAGCCTCCGGCCACTACCCCTGAGCGTCTAGCTGGGCCCTGGCCCTGGGCTGTGAGGCTCTGGGGCACTTGGATTTAATAGGTTTGACACGAGCCTCACACCTGAGGCCCCTTGTGAAGATTACAAAGACTCCTGCAGGTGATCACACCTGCTCATGCAGCTACTGAGACTGCTCGGAACTGGGCTCTGGGACCGAGACTGACAGGTCTGTCTTCCGTCTGAACGAGTCTTGCACACCCAGTTAGCTGGCAGCAGGCGTGGGGTCAGTCTGGGTGAAAACCCACACCACGGCTGCTGGCGGTCAGCGAGTGCGCATCTGTGAACGTCTCAGTGGGAGCCGCGCCTGGTACTCAGCACCCCAGGAAAACCAAGCTCAGGCCGTCCAGTTAGTGCCACCTCTCAGCCATGCTCTCGGGGACCCTCGGATCCACAACTCTGCTGGGCAGGCAGCCTCGTCTTCCCCAGGAGGCCCGGCGGTGGGGGGTTGAACAGCTGAAGGTGCAGGTAGCAGACGGGGATCCCACATTACCAGTGGGTACTTACTGGGCCTCACACAAGTGCATCATTGTTAGAATCAAAGCAAAACAAAAGACAGAAGCTTGGGCTTCACTGAAAAAACAAAACAAAACGAAAGTGTGCGAAAAAAATCATTGCAAAAAATGAAATTTATTTTTAAAAAGGGAAGCTTTGAGCCTTATGGACCGAGCAAATGCTGATCAGACACAGCTAGTTCTGGATTATGCACTCACTAAGCAAAACAAAAACAACAGTGGGCATAAACACAAATGAATGCTGCATAGGCCCCGCTTAAAAAGAGTGTTCCGCTAAGTACAAAAGTGTAAAGCATGCCTCTGTTTGATGTTGTGATTCTTTACAGTGGAACAGCTCAGGTGTCATTGCTATTTTAAATAAAGAAATGACAACTGAATTAGGAATCAAAATTTGGGAGGCTCCCCGCCCCCCTGTAGCCTGCCTGAGGCATTGGCCACTACCCCACACTCTGGCCTCCCAGTGAGTGTGCGCACGGCACAGGCCTGTGCCCCGAGCACCACCGACAGCCTACTGATGCGTTTCAGCCCCTTCTCCACCCTGAGCCAGGCAGGCTGCCAACGCCCCCCAAAGCCTGTCCTGCTCTCTGCAGTGGGCGATGGAGGTGCTGCCAGGGGAAGAGACGGGGCCACGGCTGCACCACGAACCAGGGCAGGGGCTGTGGGGAAGGCAGGCTGCATGGACAGGGCAGGACCGACCAGAGGTCAACGCTGGCCAGCACTAGAGTGTCCCGTCCTGCCCACGGAGCTGCCCCTCCTGTGTTGGCAGCAGAGAGCCTGAGGGTGGAGAGTGAGGGCCAGCACCCAGGGGATCGTCACCATTCATGGCCCCAAGGCCAAGGCCAACTGCCGCCACATGGGGGACGCAGGGGCGACCCCTCAGAGGAGCGGTGTGCCCACACGCGCACGTGTTGGAGGGGGCAGGGCCTGCCTTCTGGCCAGTGGGGGGCCTGGGGCCGGGCCTGTGGAGGTCACAATGGATACTCACAGAGAGCACGGGTCCTCCTCGGTAAGGTCCGCCAGGTACACGTTTGCGAAGTGGATGAAGAGCATCCCGATGGCTTGCTTGGATGTGTCCAGGAACCTGGAGGAGCAGACGCACCCTCTGAACCGGACGAGGTGGTCCGGGGGAACGACGGGCAGGAGCTCTGCTGTCTGACTTACCGCTTCCTGCCATGACCCTGGGGTGGCCCACTCTCACTGTGTCTCCTGTCGCTGATGTGTCCCACAAGGCACCCCTGCTTCTAAGAACCTTCTGGATCAGAGGGCCCAGCCCCACTTGCTACACGGTGGCGAGACCTGACTCAGCTACATCTCAAGACCCGCCAAGACCTGCGCATTTGAAATCCCCAAAAGGCCACTGATTGGAAATAGGCAAAACGCGGGCTAAGTTTCCATCCCCTTCTCTCTTGCTCCCTGCTCTGTGAAGAAGTTCCAGAAGTCTGCATCCTGGAGATCCCACCGGCTTCACGCCCACGTGGGCATAACGCCAGGGCCAACGAGACCTGGCCACGCCCAGCACTGCCCTGACACCCAAGGACCCCAGTGCTGCTGCCCTTCACACTGGGTGGGACCAGGGGGTCACAGGGAGGAAACAGTGTTTCGTGGGCCACATGGTCCCCCAGCAACGGCTGAGCGCCTCAGTGGGCCTCCCCAGTGCGCGGGCGGGGCGACGAGACAGGCCGCGGCAGGGGCCTCAGAGGAGAAACGGACCAGGTTGCCCTGCTGTGAGCCCCTGGCCCTGCGCTCAGGTGTGACAGCACAGGGGTCACGCCATGGACCCCTGGAGACTCCAGATCCTGGCTGTCCTCTCTGCCTCCCTGCAGGCTGGGTGTCACAGGGCGGGGGGTCAGGCTGCTGAGCGGAAGCCCGGGGGGCTTGGGCTGGGAGGCTACGCAGGTCAGTCCTGCGCCCGAGGCTGGGGGCAGGTTTCCAGGCCTTTCTTCTGAGACACCCCTCCTCTGTGGACTTGGACCCCCACTGCTGCACCAGCCAGGCCTTCTCACTCGAGGGCAATCCGTGTGGAACACGGGCCAGACCTGCCGACCCTCACAGCCCTGGGGTGGGAGTCACACGTGTAGAGCTAGAGGCCAGACTGGAGTGAGGAAAACAGGGTTGACCAGAGACACGCCTGACATCTCACACGGGCCCTGTCCTGGCACCCCTGCATGCCCTCTTGGAGGCAGGAAGCATGATGGGCACCGCGTCACACCACGACTAGACACGCGTCCTGGGGAAGAGTCCGTGCCGGGCTCAGGAACTGGCTGCTCTTTACCAGCAGCCAAGCAAGCAAAACAGACAAGTTCCTCTTCGACCCGACCCCGAGGCTCGACCGCCTTCAGCATGCCAGGGGGAGTGTTCACAGCTGTATGCCTGACTGGCCTCCAAGGGGTTGCTGATGTTACTGGGGCAGAGGACGCCAGTGGGCTTGCTTACCGTGGTGCCTAACAATAAACTCAAGGCCACGGCAGGTCCTGGAGATAGACAGGCTGTTGTAGGGCACACCGTTACTGATGACCACGTCAGCCAAAGGGTCCACACGCTTCATGTTCGTGTAACCGAATGCAATGCCTGCCCCCACTGCCCCAAAACCAAGTAGTTTAACAAAAACCCTTCAAGTTCACCACCATCAAGTTGACGTCCACTCACAGTGACCCTACAGTAAGGTGACCAGATGTCCCACTTTTGGCGGGATAGTCCCGATTTTTGGCATTATAAAAAAGGCCCAATTTTTGGCAAGAATGCACGACAAGCTAGGGAATGGTCTATTTGGTCCATATAGACCAAATTTTTAATCAAGAACCCCACCCTGCCTTGCCCCCCAGTCAGTGGTGTCCCACTTTAAATCTGGTCACCTTACCCTACAGGGCAGGGTGGAGTTCCCCTGTGAGCTCCCATCTTTCTCCCTCAGGGCAGCCAGTGGGGTTGAACCGCTGCCCTGAGGCCGGCATCCTAGTGCGTAACCACACACCCTGGGCCTAAGCAGCCTGCCCAACTTAGCACGTACCATATCCTCCACGGGCGCCGCTCATGCTTTGGTTCTCGGAAGCGTTTGACTGCAAGGAGAGACAGGCCGTCAGAGCAGCAGCAGGAAGCCGGTGCCGGACCCAGTCTGGCTGTCAGCTCCCTCCCAGTGTGGCGCCGGACGCCAGGGTCTTCCCATCAGGAGACATGACAGAGAGCACCCAGCCGAGCCAAAGAGACCCTGCCCTGCTGACAAGCAGGGACTGGGAAGTTACACACGAGGACTCGTCACAGCGTGCCCATCCTCCTCACACGAGCACGGGGTGTGCACTCCCCATCTGTCCACCTCCCACAGAAGCAGGGCTCAAGTAGTGCCCAGTCCGAGCCAGGCACTGAGGACTCGGCATGGTTAGGATTCCGGCAGGGCAGACATGTCATGAGGCAGAGTGGCATGTGCTGGAGGAAGAAGACATCCAGGCAAGATGCCCGCCTGGAAAAAGGGCAGAGGTCAGGAGAGCTAGATTGGTGGGAGGTGGCCGGGCCAGGTCCTGAAGTCTGAGTTAAGAGTTTGGCAAGTGACTATGGAGGGGCGGGAAGATGCAGTCCAGGCAAGGAGAGCCCTGAGCAGGGGCACCACACAGCACCCTGTGCCCAGCATCGTCTGAGGGCTGCCATGCAGGACATGAGGTGCGGAGCCAGCAGATGCAGGGACAGCCTGAGCAGGGGCCAACAGGGAAGGGCCTCCAACAAGAGCTAAAGACGGAGGAGACCTGTGTTTACAAAAAGGCGCTGTCCCCTGTGCAGATGATGGAGTCCTGGGGTGGAGGACTGTGAGAGGGCACCCTGCTGCAGTGCCCACAGACCTGGAGAGGAACCTCCAGGCACTGGACAGAGAGAAGTACTTCCAGCTAAGGCCAGCTGGCAGAAGGGGAGGACTCATTCACGGGTGTGTGAGATTCACAATTTTAGCTCAGGTTGAGTCACAGCAAACAAGAAGCCCTCAACAGTCCTTGCAACTACAAACTACCGTATATACTCGTGTATAAGCCAAGTCTTTCAGCATGCTTTTCATGCGTCTTTTGTGGTAAAATTAGGTACCTCGGCTGATATTTGGGGTGGCTTACACTTGAGTGTATACGGTAGTTCTACCCCTCACACCAGCACTGTAGGTGCGGGCTCGGGTGGCGAGGAGCGAGGTCCATCGCCTGGCCACGTGCACTCAGCACAGCACAGCTGCAGGATGCGGCGGTGCACACACAGGATCCACTGCGAGGAGGCCTCATTGCCAGGGCACATCCCAGATCCCCACGGCAACCGGGCCTGAGAAGCTGAAGTTCAGCCCAGGAGCAGGGCCTGAGTCGCCCCAGTGCCCCCAGAACCGGTCCCCAGGAGGAAGGCTCAGGACCGGGGCCACGGTCTGGGGTCAGGGGAGACCCTTCAGTAGTGTTCCTGACACTGTGCGATGCCCGATGACAATCACGTTGTAATGCTATCCCGTGCTCACTGCAGCTCTGAATCCAGGCTCACACACTCACTCCTCACTGTCAGCAGGGCTGGTGCCCTGTGGGGTGCACACCCGCGTCGAGTGAAGCGGAGGGGGCTCCGTCCCATCGCTATGTGGAGGCGGGCCTCACTTACGGAACCACGGCCGGCTTCACACACCACAGCTGCCCCTTCTCACTCGCCCCTG